TGGGCCGCTCCCAGGAGCAAACAGCTCCAGGAGCGTGGGCTGGGCACAGGGGTCCCTGGAAGCAGGGTTCAGGGGGCTGCTGAAATGGCTCAACTGGCTGTCTCTACCTGCAAACACCAGCATCCCATATGGGCGCCAGTTCCTGTCCCGGCTGCTCCACTTCCCTTCCAGCTCCCTGCTTGTGATCTGGAAAAGCAGCAGAGGACGGCCCAAAGCCTTGGGACCTTGCACCTGTGTGGGAGACCCAGAAGAAGTCCCTGGCTCCTGGTTTCACTTCAGCTCAGCTCCGGCCATTGCCGCCATTTGGAGAGTGAACCAACAGATGGAAGATCTTTCTATCTCTGCTCCTCTCTGTAAATCTGCCTTTCCATTGGGCCTCGTTGGAGTCCCAAAAGAGGCCACAGGGCACAGACAGCAGGGCCCAGACCACACATACCCAGGCAAGGCCCTCTCACCCACAGGCGCCTGAGTGAGGAGGTGGAGGAGGGGACCCTCAGCTCCTCTCCCGGGGGGGGTGGGGAATCGCCCCGTGCAGGTCAGGCTGGGATTAGGGAGCCGGATAAGGCCCGGCACAGCTGGGGCAGAACAGGCACGTTCGGCTGTGGGCAAAACCAACAGAGGGAACCGCCACAGCGGGACGGGCTGGGGCCTCGCCTGGCCCCAGCAGGCAGCATGGGCACCGCCTTATCGCCCAGCACACTTCTCCCTCCTCCCATCCATGAGCTGCCTGCGGGTCAGCTGCACAGCTAATCACGCAGGAAGAGAGCTAAGTGTGGGGGAGAACAGGAGTGCAGGGGGCGGGAGGCAGCGGGCGAGCTGGGTGGCCCCAGTGGCCCCAGCAGCCCCAGCCCAGCACGTCCTCCCTCCAGCCCTTGGCAGGGAAACCTGCACCTTCCAACCCAGCTCAGGGCCACCAAGCCTCCAAGCCTCTAGTGTCTGCACCCTGGGAAGGAATGGGGGCAGGTGCACACCGGACGGGAGCCCACCACGCCCAAGGTGCCTGTCACTGCTGCTTCTGGTGCTGTGACGGGCTGCGCTGTGCGACTTGGGAAACACCATGGTGGGGCCTTCAGCACCCAGGCAGGAGCCGCCCAACGTCTCCTGGCCAGACCTTCCCAGGACCTCCGCTGTTTGTCAGGACGGATGGCAGCAGCCTGTAACAGCTTCATACAAGCTGCGTGCTCTAAAGATGGCCGAGCCATACTCCAGCCTGCCCACAGACAGAGGCACCTGCCTGCCCCGGCCTTGTGAGACTTCCACAGGGTCAGCCCACTGTCCCGAAGGTAATCCCCAGGAGTGCAGACCTGCAGAGGCCCCAAGCCAGGGTCACCCTCCCGTGGTACCTCAGGAAGGCCCTCAGCACCAGTGGACATGGGAGATGCCCACGGCCCTGCAGCTGTGACCATGTCGCCCGGCAGACCCAGGACGTACGTGCAGAGCAGGGCCCAGGAGCTGCCGAAGGAAGGAGATGGGAGCCACTCACCCCCTGGAACCACGACCCAGCCAGTGGGAGTTGGGGGCTGGAGGTCAGCCTACGGGAGTGTCCACAGCTGCCACCCCCAGGGGACAGTCAGCCGGTCTGCCCAGTGTGCCTGCGGCCTGAAGCCTCTTTGGGGGTGAGGGCTCCAGCCCATCTACCTACTGCCCAGGAGCCTCCCAGACCTTGGCAGAATCCCAACCCTGCCCGGCCAGGAAGAGGGCACGGCCTGGCTGCCTTCAGTCACAGCTGGCCCAGGAGCCCAGAGGCTCAGGACCTTGACCTTGCTGGCCTCTGGAAACAGAATGGACCCCAACCCCAGCAACAGGGGCGAGGAGGGCTGGCCAGCCTGGTCCAGGTCCTATGCAGCCCTGGGGGCCGTCCCTAGGCCCGGCTCTGAGTTTGGAGGGTCTGTGGCCCCCATCCTCGACAGCCGATGTCCCCTGAAGCAGTGATGCTTGCTGGCACCCACCTGTAAGTGAGGGGATGAGGAGCCGCAGCACACGGGGGCTCATCGGGGCTTACAGGGACCCTGGGGCCAGGCCACGATCCACACACACGCTGGCTCCCACGGAGTGTGGGTCCACAGAGCTGTGGCTTGGGCCCATGGTACATGCTGTCACCACTGAGTGAGGCCAAAGTGGGCCCTGGCCTGCAGAGGCCACGACGCAGTGGCAGACCGCAAACAGCACACACTGCTTCCAAGACCCACAACCCCACCCATAGCCACGTGGGGGAATGTCAGTCACACCCCACAGGGCCAGCCCTGACTCTGGAGCCCAATGTCCCCCTCCAGCTCTGGGCACAGTCAAGTGGCACCATCCATGGGGCCTAAAGCCAGGTACCCACAGGACGACGCACTCTGGGACTGCAACAGCCCCACTGCCTGGTGTGGTGCAGGCCCTGGCTGCCCTGGCCCCTCCTGATGGGTCCCACCCTTCCCAGACCCCAGGGACTCTCGCCAGGTGGATGCAGGAGCCGGGGAGGGGACACAGTAGGCACATCAGGCATGCTGGGACAGAGGGTCAGGGCTAGGAACTGGCTTCCCCCACCTCCCTGCCCACCCCAGGGACCGCAGTGCCTTCTCACCTGCCAGGAGGGCCGTGCCCTCAGTAGCCAGAATCAGCACCCAGCTGCTGGGTAGGCACTGTGTCCCATGCCCTTCGGGTGGGGACTGGAGCTGAGCGGCCTGGGCTAGGAGCCCCGACACCCCTTACCCCCCAAAACAATGGTACTGCTTTCTTTCCAACAGCCTCCATCTCACAGCGGGCAGGGGACAGCTGGCAATGCTGTCCTGGGCCCCACAGCCAGGGGCAGTCCCAGCTTCCCCTCGCTCCGAGCCAGGGATTAGGCAACTTCCCACCAACCCAGGCAGGGGCCCCGCTGCTCCCAGGAACCCCCCCACCTGGGGCAACCAGACCCTAGGGTATTTCAGCTGCCCTGCCCTGAGCCCTTACCAGTCGGCACTGGCTACTCATTCCTCCCCCAAAGACTCCCTGTGAGGCAGGGTCACGGCTCACACTCTACTCCACAGCAGCACAGGGCCTTGACCATGGCGCAGCTCCCAGATCTGGCCCACAGGGTCCAGGCTCTGACCACCCCCCACCTAGGATGTCCCAGACCCTGCCTGGGACAGGAGCATGGCAGGCAGGAAGGGAGCCCCACCCAGTCTCAAGGACAAAGCCACAGCCGGGTCCAGATATCGCCACAGTCCCGACCCCCTGCTCTGCCCCATGCCCAGACAGCCTGGTACAGGGCTTCACAGTGTGAGGCAGCAGGAGTGGGAAGTGCCACCCACAGCCTCCCACGGGGGGCTCAGCACTTGGAGGCGTGCTGCCCCTGCCCCTCCGCCCCTCTGCAAACAGCCCGCTGTCAGACTTGGCAGCCCTCTTCCCTCACTCCTATCAGCTGGGTCCCTCCCAGACCCCGGACCCCCACCCCCCTTGACTCCAGGCAGAGATGCCAGCCCCTCCCCTCAGCCCTGTTGGAGGCTTCTCCCCCTGCTGCGTTTTCTGAAGGGGGTCCAGACCCCCACAGGTCTGAGCCTCTTGTTTCATTTCCAATCACAGGGACACGTCTCCAAGCATCAAGCAAGCAAACTCAGGGGCCATGGCCCGACCCAGCCTGCCTGGCCGTCCCCCAGGTGCGGTAGAGGGGTCAACAGGACCCCCGATTCTCACGGGGCTCACCGGACACAAAGTCCATGGGGGAGCGAGGAGGAGGGATCCCCGTGCAGACGCCAAGGGGGTGCGTGACAGAGCGGACACGGGGAGTTCACCCAGCAGCTGGAACGCAGGGCCCTGAGCAGGGATGGAAGAGGGACCCTGTAGGTCCGCCCACCCCCCATCCGATGTCACAGCAATTCCCGCACCCCTGCCGAGGCAGAGTCTATACCATGGTGCTGGGTCTGGGGGTGCCTAGGCTCCCACCCCAGGCTGCACCTGTGGCTGTGCCGCCTGCTCCACAATCCCGTGCACTTGACCGGCACCTGAACTCCCCACCCACCGCTACTGGGACAGCCCACAGAGAGGAGGGCAGCGGGGAGGGGGCAGCCCCAGCTCCAGGGCTGGTCCAGCCTTCCCCTGCCTGGAGTCTGCCCTGCACCCAGAAGAGAGCCCAGCTTCCCCTCACGCCCTCACCTGCCAGGTGCCCCTGCACATCTCATCTCGTCTCCCCTGCAGCTGAGTGGGGAGGCCCTTGGGAGGGCTGGAAGCTGGATCCCCCTGCCTCACACCCTGCGGTCCTGGGGCTGCAGGAAGCTCCTTCCCGGCTCTACCAAGTGTGGGGTCATCAGAAGCTGGGGGACCCTGCGTGAGGCCGTCGCTGGGCTCTTCCGGGTGGGGGGCCAGGCACCCAGCTCCTAGAACTGGAAGGCCACGTGGGCGGCCACACTGACTCAAGCGCAACCCCTGTGGGCAGAGGACGGCCAGGGTTCAGGGTCAGGGACGCGCACCGCCCGCCGGCGTCCTCCGCCGCGCTCGAGGCTCAGGACTGGGGTCCTCCGCGCCCGGCGGCCCGCACCCCGAGAGCCGGCCGAGTCACGTGACGCCAGGGCCGCAGCCCCGGCGCTGACCCCGAGGGGAGGGAGCGGCGCGGGCGCCGGGAGGGAAGGGGCGGCGCGCCGAGGGGGCGTTCCGGCCGCGCGGGACTCCCTGCGGAGCCGCCCGGGGCCCGGCTCCCAGTCTCCAGCCCGCGGTCCGGACCGCCACAGCTGCCCGGAGGGTGAGTGCGGAGGCCCCGACAGCGCTGCGCGCGCCCCTCCCCGGCGCGAAGCCCTCTCCCGGTGCGCTGCGCCCTGGCTGGGAAGGTGGGAGCCGCGGAGAGCCCTCCCGGGGGTCGCCGGAGCCGCGGTAATGGAGGTGGTGGCTCGTGCCAGGCTGCAGGCGGGAGGGCTCCCCGCCGCCCCGCGGACCCCATCAGAGGCACCTGCCCCAACGCGGGCAGGTCCCGGGCAAGGGGCGCGCGGCCGCCCTCATCTCTTCGCCTGCTCCTCTGCCCTGCAGGTCCGGAACCCGCCCGCGAGATGTACCAGAGCTTGGCGCTGGCCCCGAATCCCAGCCAGGCTGCCTACGGGGGCGATTCGGGCGCCTTCGTGCACGGCCCGGGCGCCGGGTCCCCGATGTTCGTGTCGCCGGCGCGCGGGCCCTCGGTGCTGCCCTACCTCCCGGCGTGTGAGCCGGGCCTGCAGCCTCCCGCGCTCGCCACGCACCCGGGCTGGGCGCCGGCGGCCTCCACCGAGTCCTCGACCTTCGGCTCCAGCAGCCCGCAGCCTCCGGCCGGGGCCCCCGCCTTCCCCTTCCCGCACAGCCCCCCGGGGCCCGGCAGCGGTCCGGGAGCCCGGGACGGCGGCGCCTACCCGGGCACGCTGCTGGCGCGCGAGCCCTACCCGGCCCCGCTCGCGCGGCCCGCGGGTGCCTCCTACCCCGCCGCCTACCCGGCCTACGTGAGCGCCGAGGGAACGCCGTCCTGGGCAGCCGGGCCGTTCGACGGCAGCGCCCTGCACGGCGGCGCGGGCCGCAAGGCCGCCTTCGGTGAGTACGGAGCTCCCGACTGCTCGCCGGAAAGTCTGGGGTGATCCCGCGCCCTGCGAAGCGAAGGCCGCGCCCCGAGGTGCTTGGAGCGACCTGGAGGAGAAAGAACCTGAAATTCCGCCCCCTCGAACCCCCCAAAACACCGGAATCCACGGCCTCCTTCCTGGGGAGCGTTTCGTGAAGTTTCCGCAACTCAGATCCGAGTCCTCGCTTTAACAATCTGGCCGCCCCCAGGCCCACGGGTCGGGGCGTTGGCGGCCGAGATCGGAGGCCGCGCGCCTGTGTCCGCCGCTCCCGGGGGAAGGTGGACAGGACGGCGCGGGGAGCGCGGCCCAGACGTCGCCCGAGGACCCCTGGCGCCCGCCCCCGGCCCGGGCGACGATGGATCCGCGCGGCGCCTGGCCGGGCCTGGGGGAGACCCAGCCACCGCTCCGCCTCTGCACGCGGGGGGCTGGAAGTGTCCCTGCGGGCTGGGTAGGGTGGCAAAGCTGGTGGCCGGGCCACCGCGGTCCTGGGGCGCGGTGCCATCACTGTCCTCCGTGTTCCCGGAGGCGGCCCGGAGTGGACTGCCCGCCCGCTCGAATGCGGCGCTGCAGCTGAACGCGCGACGCGGGTCCCGGGGCAAGGCACGCTTAACGAAGCACAGCTGGGCGCAGAGAGCGGGTGGCGGCCCTGGCTCTCGCCCCACCTGCTGCCTGTCCCCTGCAGTGCCCGGCTTCTTGGAGGACTTCCCCGGCGAGGGCCGCGAGTGTGTCAACTGCGGGGCCCTGTCCACCCCGCTGTGGCGCCGGGACGGCACCGGCCACTACCTGTGCAACGCCTGCGGTCTCTACCACAAGGTCAACGGGGTCAACAGGCCCCTGGTGCGGCCTCAGAAGCGCCTGGTGAGTGGGTGGCTGGGCCCAGCCAGGGCGAGGTGGCCAGGGGGGGCTTGCTCCTGCTGGCGCCGTGAGATGCCCAGTCTGGCTTGCTCTCGCCGTGGGCCAGCGGACAGAGGGCAGCTAGTGTGGGGTCCAGGCCTGTGAGCTCTCAGCGCCAGTAGCCGGCCTGGGACTGGTGACAGTGCAGGCTCCTGCTGTGAACTGGGGGCCCCTGGTTCCTGGCAGCCCCTGAAGGCCTGGCACTCCCTGCCTCGGGTGGCCAGTGGATGGAGGCTAGGGTGCCCTGGAGACCTGGCAGGCCTCTCCCTGGCTGCTTGCACACAGCTGGGACCGGCTGGGAGGCCCTTCTCCCGGCCTGCCTGGGCAAAGGCAAACGCTTCGCATCATGAGCTGGCAGCTGCCCTGCTGTGAGCAGGAGGGCGCCCACAGGGACAGACTGTCCTGGGCCTTCAACTTCACCCTCCACTCTCACCCAGACCGCCCTACGGGGGGCCTGAGGTCTGGGGCCCTGCTGCACCATGTCCAGGACAGCGCTGACCAGGGCCAGAGCCGGCAGCCCTGGTGAGCACCCTTGGGCCCTGGGCCTCCCGTCTGGGATCCTGGCTGGTGCAAGTGGCACGGTGGAACTGCCGGGAAGGGGGTGGACTAGTGACGATTCCTGTGCCCCCGCCCCCCCGTCTGTGGGCAGCCACGTTCCCCCAGGACCACCCTGCAGCCCCACCCTAAGGGCCTACCCATGTCTCTAGAAAATTCCTGAGGTGGGGGTGGCCAGCCAGTGCTGAGGCCTGGGCCCTGGGCAGCGGCTGCAGCACGGATGGTAACACACTCAGCCACTCTGTGCTTCCCACCGGAGCTGCGCCCCGGGCTGAGGCCTCGGGGCACCACAGCTGGCCCTGGAGCTGGGCAGACCCCGGCTGTGCCAGGGCCAAGCTGAGACCGGCTGGGCACCTGCCCAGCTTGGGAGATGGCAAGGTCTGGCTGTGGCAGACAGCAGAGGAGGCGTGCTCAGGGCCTGCCTGGGACCCCTGTATTCCACTGTCCCCCAGCATCCCCAGCCCTAGCTGTGGCCCGACATGCCAGCGTGGCCGCCGAGCAGGAGGTGGGAACCGAGGCAGGGTCCTGGCACCACCCTTTCATCCTTGTTCTCGACTTCGTAGGCGGGATCCCCTGGCCCCCAGGTTTTGGTCGTGTGCTGGGGTGGGGCTCGGGCTGCGGACTCAGTCACTATGTATAGAAATCCCTGGTCACCACCTCAGCCCAGCCTGCCGCCCACGGGTGGGCACATGGGGGAGGGGCAGGCTTGGCAAAGTGCCTGAGAGCTTAGGAGACTTCAGGCTGCAGCTGCTGCTCGGTGCTGGAACACAGGCAGAGCGTGGTTCCCAGCTGACCAGGAGCCTCAGCCCGGGGGAGCCACCATGCACCCCTTTAATGTGGCGTGTGCTCCTACTGCACAAGGCAGGACAGAAGCATACACACACCAACACACATGTGCACACGCACGCACCCTCTGCCCCTGCAGCCCGCTGGCTGGCTGAGGGTGTAACCTGGCTCCTGGCACTGACAGCCAAGACGGCAGGAAGGACAGCTGCTCTGTGGCAGCAAGGGTTCGGCCCTGGCGGGTTCTGCCACGGGTGCCCTGTGTGCCCCTCCCCGACGCCCAGACGCATGGTCTTCTCTGTTCTGCTAGTGCCAGCCCCATCTCAGCGCGTGGGCAGAAGTGGGGCTGACAGCTGTGGCCGCGGCCATCAGCCAGGGTGGGCACAATTGTGTCCCCTGGGCCATTCCTACCAGCTGGTCAGCCTGGCTGACAGAAGCCAGGGGTCCTGGGCCTTCAGGGTGGCTAAAGGGCGCATTTCCTACCATGAGGTTGAGAAAATGACCGTTTTCCGGGCCACCCTTGAGGCCCACCTCCGTGCTGGGCTGCGGGGGCGGGGGCAGGTGCAGACCTGCTCACGTGAGCCCCACATTTGCCCGTGGCATTGGCCACATTCCCATCACCATCTGGTGGCAGGAGAGGACAGGGAAGGGTCGCGGCCCAGCCACCAGTGTCCTTGTGGGACTGGCCCTGTGCACAGGGGGTCTGCAGCCTGTGGGCAGGGCGGGCAGGTGGACCTGTAGGGCTTCCGCCATGGGCCTGGCGAGAGTGCCGGGAGCTAGCCGCGTGGACTATGCACAGGAAGTGAGAGGACAGAGGGCAGGTGACAGAGCAGCCCCTCAGGGCTCGGCCCCGGGGACAAGTGACTGAAGCATGGGGCCGGGCACAGGGCTGAGCTGGCCATGCAGGAAGGTCTGGGTCCTCCAGAAGCCCAGTTGTGCATCAGGTTAGGAAGGAGGGGCTGGGCACCTGCAGCTGCCATGGGGAGGGGCTGACGGGCACTGGGCAACCCTAGGAGTGTCCTCAGCTGCAGGAACCAGGCGGCAGTGGCCAGCCCTGCCCCGAGGCCTGCTGGCCACTGCCACCACGGGGTGGAGGCCAGCGCTGATGGCCACATGACCTCCGCGGCTGCCTGGGCCCCATGGGTGGGCACCCCCAGGGTCAATGGCCTGGTACAGGGGCTGGGGGCCCTGCCCTTGACCGGCCTCCTCCCATCCCTGATGGCCCCTCGGTGTCCAGCCTGGCCGTGACCCCGGCCAGGCGCTCACGCGGTGCCCTTGGTCCCGCAGTCCTCGTCCCGCCGAGCCGGCCTCTGCTGTACCAACTGCCACACCACCACGACCACGCTGTGGCGGCGGAACGCAGAGGGGGAGCCTGTGTGCAACGCCTGCGGGCTCTACATGAAGCTGCACGGAGTGAGTCGGCACGTGGCCACATGCACGTCCCTGCTGACCGCCAGCTTCCTGTGCGGCTGTCGCCCGCTGAGGCCTTGCCATGCTTGCACCCCCAGCGCCCCTCAGCCCCTCCTCGTCCCTGCCGGGTCAGGATGGCGTGGGCAGCCCTGGGGGGGGTTACGAGACCCCAGGGTGAGTGGGAAGGCACCACACCAGCCTGCCCCCTCCCCACTGCCCACCAGGTGCCGCGGCCTCTGGCCATGAAGAAGGAGAGCATCCAGACCCGGAAGAGGAAGCCCAAAAACCTGACAGCCAAGGCCAAAGGCCCCTCAGGTGTGAGGCGGGGCGGGGGCCGAGGGACCCTCAGGGCTGCTGCAGCCTGGTCACGTGTCAGCCTGGTGCAGGCTGGGGCGAGCCGGGAAGGCGCAGCGACCGAGCGCAGTATCCGCTAGGCTGGGTCGGGACAGGAGGGCACTGGGGCCTTCTGTCAGTGCCAGCCTCTCCTCAGGCACCAGCGTGGACACGGCTGCCTCCCCGCCCACCGGCACCCACAGCTCTGCCACCAGTCTGAAGGCAGTTGGTACTCTGCTGTCCCCGGCGTGCCCTGCGCCCAGCGTCGCCTCACAGGTGGGGGTCAGGCTGTTCCCAGAGCCGGGTCTCACAGCCCGCCGCCCTGGAACCCCTGACTGCTGGGGCAGCCCTGGGGGGGGCTCACACACTCCCCAACCGCCTGGCCTCACACACTTCCCGTCCCTCCGCAGGCCCCCGGCAACATGGACGACCCCCTGGCCCCAAACCACCTGGAGTTCAAGTTTGAGCCTGAGGACTTTGTCTTCCCTGCCACAGCCCTGAGCCCCCAAGCTGGCCTCGGAGGGGCCCTGCGCCAGGAGGGCTGGTGTGCCCTGGCCTTGGCCTAGTCCCCCGGACCCCAGCTCCCATGCTCCCGCTCCCTGCCTGCCTCTCTGGGTCCCAGCACGCGGAGCCCCGGTGGCTGCCCGTGACCCTCGGCTCAGCCCGGCAGAGGGGCTCGTCTGCAGGTGGCGGTCCAGGAAGAAGGCCAGCGGGGGAAGGCTGGGGACAAGGGAATCCCAAACGGCCGGGCAGCCCTAGCCAGCTGTGTGCACGTTTACCTCCCGCTAGAGCCGTGGTGGCTGCAGGAGTGAGAGGAACCTCCCAAAACCTTGAGGGTGCCCTGCCCCCGACCATGGACGGACAGAGCTGAGGCACAGCACAAGATGGAAGGGACACACTGCCCCCGGAGCTGTTTGCCCAGTGGTCCTGGGGACCCGTGTATTTATTGGGGCTGTTTCTCCAGGGAGTGGTAAAGGGCCATTTGCGACTGGACTGTGGCCATTTCTGATGGGCAGAAGAGGGCATGGGGCAGGGCTGGGGTGCACTGACACAGCTGGTGGGCGAGTCCACTGGCCCGGTGGGCTGACCAGCAGCCAGCCAGTGGACTCAGCTCAGCTGCCTGTGTTCCTGAGACAGCACTGAGGACGTGGCAAGGCAGACTTTGTCTGCCGGGGAGCCATAAATCTGATTTTTTAAAAATGTGAAGTCTTGGGCCCAGCACAAATCCTCACCTTGCACGTGCTGGGATCCATTTGGACACCAGTTCATGTCCCGGCTGCTCCATTTCCCATCCAGCTCCCTGCCTGTGGCCTGGGAAAGCAGCAGAGGACACCCCAAAGCCTTGGGACCCTGCACCCACCTGGGAGACCTGGAGGAAACTCCTGGCTCCTAGCTTCGGAGTGGTTTGGCTCTGGGCATTGTGGCCACTTGGGGAGTGAACCAGAGGACAGAAGATCTTTGTCTCTCCTTCTCTGTAAATCTGCCTTTTCAATGAAAATAAATAAATAAATAAATCTTTTTTAGAAAATGTGAAGTCTCCCACTCATGGCTTTGTGACAACCACTTTGGTTCAAGCCACAAGACTGCTGCAGGCTGGCCCAGCCTGGCAAGCCCCCCTGAAAACTCAGCAGGATTGACCCCAGCTGGCCACCTAAAGGAGCTCCTCCGGCCGAGGCCCTGTAAGACCACCTCATAGCAAGACTCTGAGTGGGAGCCCCGAAACCATGTCCCTCTGCCAGGCCAGCCTGCAGGGTCTCCCCACCTCACCCTTGCTGGCTTCCCGAGGCCTCCTCTCTGCATTTCCAAGCAGTGGCCCAGTGGCCTGGGTCTGCAGGCCAGGTTGGCTCCCTGACCCCTAGGTATGCCAGGAGCCCCCTAGGCACTAGACACATGGGTCAGGGACTGGGCAGAGCTTGGTCTGCAGGGCTCCCAGGAGCCAGGAGAACAGGGGCATCTCTCTGAGGGGGCTGCCTCAACTTCTGGAAGACCACTGCCTCCCGGACCACCCCCTCCCATGGTCACCCCCCCGTGGTCACCCCCCATGACTGCCCCCTCCCTTGGTCACACCCTCCCGTGGTCACCTTCCCCTTTGCTCACCCCCTCCCTTGGTCACCCCCCGACCACTCAAGGCTGTCCCCCTTCCAGCTTGAGCCTTAGCCTTGCATAGATTCAGTCGGGGGAGGAGACAGGCTCTCGTGCTGTATGAGTGCCGGGCCCAGGGGCAGACCTTTCTAACAGGGACCCCTGGCCCTGGGGGTACTTGGGGGCTGCACTCAGCTGTCACCCGCTGGCCCAGGCTAGGAGTAGAGGTTTGGGGCTCTGTGGGCCTCCCCATGGCATGGTGACTGCAGACTTGGTGGTTGGTCTCTCCGAAGCCTGACTGGGGAAGGAGGGAGAGACGGAGTGGTCACTGCCAGCTGCTGTGGGTGTGTAAGAGCTGGCCGCGGAGGCTGTGGGGGCAGCCTCCATAGCTGCTGGGCAGCTACTGCCCTACACTGCAGCCCTGGAGAGACTGGCCAGCTGCTAGGGGCACAGCAGGGTTGACGGATCCAGGAAGGGACACCAAAAGTTGGAGACAGCTCGACAACACCACTGTTTTCACCCAAGCACCCTGCAGGCCCCCAGCCTCGTGTCCCCAAAGCCAGGACCAGAACATGGGCCTTGGCCTTCTCTAGACAGAGAGTAGCTGCAGGCACTGGGGCCACGGGCCACTAGGGGCCTGGTCCTGTCTGGCCCAGCAACCCCACTGTGCCCACCGCTCATCCCGAGCCTGTTTCCCCATGTATGGTGGAGTGGATGGTGGTTGCACACACAGGGGTGGGCTATGCCTGAGAGGCCCGCCAGCTGCAGGCAGTACCGAGCCCCAGCTGGCCTGGGGAAGTGTCCAGCTGTGTCCACACCAGGTCAGGAAGGGCCACTGGGCCTGGGTCCCCAGGGGAGGGCGCAGGCAGGTTCTGTAAGGGCTTAGGCAAGAGGAAGTGGGGTGTAACCTCAGACAGGGGGACAAGCACCCTGACCTGCTGTTGTTGTTCCATTTCAAGGCTGTGCCAGGATGGGGTGGGGCTGACAGCCACCACTGGGCAGGATCACTGCTGCTAAATTTAAGCCTTTTTCCCCTTCCGGCCTCTGGGCACCTACCTCCTAGCACTTCCTCCGACTGCCTGCCCCACACACTGCCAGGCTGGTCATAAACAACCGGGGTGCCCCCCACCCGGGAAGCTGGCAGGGAGCACAGAGCCTGTCTCCTTATCAGGCCGGGAATCCAGGCCACCTGGAGCCATTCCCCCCAGGCCATGTGGGATGCATCCCAAGACCAGCCTACCGCTGCTCTTCCTCTCTGGGGGTGCTCCCTGAGCATGCAGAACATTCGGGGGGCGGGGGAGTTTGTGCAGCCCAGCGTCTCCCTCTACGTTCAGCCCTGGATTCCTCTAGAAAGCCCCCCACCGGGGGCAGGGAAAGCCCCAGGCTAGCCAGACCTACCCTGAGGCCGCCGACTCCCTCCTAGGGGATCCTTGGGGTACGTGACAGAGGCCTGGACCTCCTGCACCCAGCTGGATCCCAGCACCCAATCCAGGGCAGCTGGGTCCTGGCCCAACTCCATCCAGCCCCACTGTGCGCACCGTGTGGGTGAGGGGAAGCCCATACCCACGGCACCCATCGCAGGCGCCATGCCCACGGCACCCATCGCCGCCATCCAGGGAAAGGGGCCATTCAGTCGGTAACAATGAGGATAGTTTTCCATTTTTAAGATTTCTTTATTTTCATTGAAAAAGCAGATTTGCAGAGAAGAGACAAAAAGATCTTCCGTTTGCTGGTTCACGCCCCAAATGTCTGCAACGGCTGGAGCCAATCTGAAGACAGGTTTGCCATGTGGGTGCAGGGGCCCAAGGCTTTGTGCCATCCTCCACTGTTTTCCCAGGCCATTAGCCAGAACCTGGATGGGAAGTGGGGCAGCCAGAGCTAGAACCAGTGCCTATGTGGACTGCAGTGTCAGGCAGAGGCTCAGCCACCATGCCAGCCCAGAAGAGAACATTTCCAAGGAAACCCAAGTTCCTACACTGCCCGCCCCCCAACCATGGTCTTCCTTGCCCAAAAGTGCCTGTGGGGCTCGGGGCAGACAAGGGCAGCCAGAGGCTCGGTCCTGGGTCTAGAGTTGGAAGAACAGGGCAGCCAAGTGGGCAGAGCCAAGAGGCGGGCAGGGCTGGGTGGCCACGTGTCGGGCATCAGGCTCCGGGCTCCCAAGGCTGACCAGCTGTGGCAGGTGGTCAGTATTGCAATTCCACTGTGACCCCTCCAGGTGGGCAAGGGCCTGGCCCAGGCCTAGCAAGTCATCACCATTTCCAGGCAGCCTGGGCACCCACTTCCCCTCCTGCACCCTGTGGTCAGGCAGCAGCCAGGAGGGAGGGGCGCCCATGGCACCCCAGCAGGGACCCAGCCTGGTCGGTCTGGGCCAGCACTCCTGTGAGATGGAAACAAAGGGTCCCTGGGCCCAGCTTGGCATGGACAGCGCAGCCAGGAGCCAGCAGCGGCCCAGCACCAATGGCTCTCCCAGCTGGCTCTGGGCTGGGCCTCACTGGGCATGTGTGAGTCCGAGACCCCCAGACTCAGTGGAGAAGAGGAGCCCTCCCATGCCCCCCGTCTTGCCCTGGGGGTGGCCTGCCCTCGGAGCCACGCAGGCCCCGAGCAGCCGCCAAGACACTGACATGGCCGGCTCCAGCCGCCTTATTTATGATCTGATAAAGCGCTCCGGGCCCAGAGGGCGGGCTGCTGCACTGGGGGAGGCGGGGCGAGCAGGCAGGAGCCGAGCGCCAGCACCTCCAGCCAGGCCCTCAGCAAGGGCTTCTCCTCCACCGCCTGCCGCGCCTGCTGGCCCAGCACATACGGAGAGGTCCCCACCCTGGGCCCCGAGGTCCCCTTGCTACCTGCGGCTGGGACCCAGAAAACTATTCCTCAGATGCCACCCTCCCCGTCCCCTCACCTTCCTCCTGCGAGGTAGGCCCTGCTGCTCTAAGGAGCCTGTCCGCCCCAGGGGAGGGTCCCTGGCCGGTAACCAGCCTCCCTCCCACAGCTTTGCAGGGCTGCCTCCTCCACGTGTCTGACCTGGCTCTGGGGGTCAGCCCCCCTGCGATGCCACCTTCCCTGCAGGATCTTTCGCAGGCAATGCTGGAGGTTACACCCCAGGACGTGCCGTCGTGCCGGGTCCAGGGAGAGAGTCATGTCTGTGGGCCAGGCTCCCAGGTCCCCTCAGCCCAGGAAGGCTGTTCCAGGCTCCCCAACAGGCAGTGCAGTCAGAGTGGGGGTGACCCCACTCCCGGGCAGGACAGCCTGGACCAAGAGGAACTCTCTGAGGCTGCACATCACAGTTGGGGTGCAGCCCAGGCTATGAGGACTTCTAGGGTCTGCCCCACATGTGCCCATTGACCCCACACAGCTGCTGTCCTCAGAGCACCTGTCTCCTCCAGGGGTCTGGAGGCAGCCCAGGGGCCCTAACAAGCTCCCCAAAGCCAGCAGGAGGGACAGTGAGCGACCCCTCCTCTGCCAGGTCTTCCATGGGGAGGGACCTGGG